GCTGTCACTAAAATACCACGGATGTAGCCAATTGAACAAAAATCTTACTATCTAAACAAACTCAACACACAATAGCTAGTTCCTAACTTCAGTGGTTCAGCAGACCAACTGTGCTCCAGACAATGCTGAGTTTGTTCAAAGTGTAATACATTTAGTTGTGCATGCTTATATATGAGTTATTGTAAAGTTGCTTCAGGCTAAATTCATTCCTGCTGCAGCCCCACTGAAATGAGTGTATTTAGAGCAGAGATTAATTTGACCCATTATGTACTAAACTTGCAGGTCTTTCTTTCAAAAAAGAACTATTCTTTCTGCAATTGATCTTGCTCACTGCAGTCATCTAAACACAAAGGAAGTCTTATCTGTGTTACCCCAGTGTGGTGGAGTTATGCTGGATTTACGTTGTTGCAACTGAGAGAATTCTTTCAGCTGAAAATAAAGACAGCTGCCCAAATTACATGCAGATCATTGCACTTCTCTTATACACCAAAAAACTTGTAATGCACATTTTAGTGTCATGCATGACTTGCTGTACCAGCTGTAGGGAAGAGGAATTCCTGATATACAAAACTTTGTTAAAAAGTTAGGTCACGGCTTTAGCTGTAACAGATTTCAACATCTAAGCAAATACACAAGCTTTTCCATTATACATGAATGGCAAGCAACTTACAGGCAGCAATGAAATTACTTTCCCGTCTGGATCATCTACAGAGATGGTACTTCAGCATTCTGGGTATGAAAGCTTGGAACTCAAGGATGAAGGAATAAGATTCAAAATAACAACTAAGTGTCTAAAACACAAGTATTTGTGGAATTTAGGCGCCTAAAGAGAAGAACTTAGAAATCACCTCATCACCACCACCTCCACTTTGTTTGGCTTGATGCTGCTTGAGGCACATTACCCTTCGTGTGCCGCCAGATAATTTTAAAATAATCTAAAATAGAAAAAAAAGAACTAAATTTCAGAATTATATGTTTCTTCCAAAGTTGTCATGTCTTTCTTTCTCTAATCCAAAATGTTTTAAAGGAAATTTCTCAGGGTTTGTTTCATGAAGAATATGTGAACAGATATTGTATTCTGATGTGAAGTCCCAGGATCATTTGTGAAATAGAAATTTTGAATGTTGTCTGACCTTAGTGTCAACAGTCATTTTGCAATGATGAGCTTTTATGTCACAGACCAGGCCAACAGAAGCAGGGGCAGTGCTGAGACCCCCAGACGTTTGGGTTTCCATAGCAGGGAAGCAACACAAAACGACAGACAATGCCAGAACTGTTGATGCAGGTTTTATGGTTTTATCTTACACAGGACGACAAGAATTTCTTCCTAGTCTTGAGGAAGTTCTGAACCTTAATTAAGCCAGACAGCTTGGATGAATCAACAGCAAACTGTGCCACCAGCTTATTCTGAAGGAGTGATGTTGCTCGCTGTGAGGAGAATGGGATGGAGGAGGCCAACAGGCAGACACTTGCAGCTCTACCTACCGCCACAGATACGCTGAGAAGAGGGTCCACCTGTGTAAACAATAAAGACTTAAACAATAAAGACAACAAAAAGAGCTTTTGAAAATACATCCCAAAAGTTAGACACATAGTTCTCATGCAGGCCACAGCGAGAGGCTGGTGCAGACTGCATCCTTCTCCATGCTGCAAAATCCCAAAACGCTCCAGTCATTAGTACAGTCACATTCACAGACAAATGTGGGCATTATTTTGTAGATTCCTGGCCAAGAATTTTGCTCTCAAAGCACTGGGCTTTATAATTTTAATTTACTAGAGAGTTTAAAAGACTACAGGATATAGAAAAAGAAAGAAAATCAGCCATGTGTGTTTCTGGTACCCCAGTCAGGCCAGATTTGCTGTAGGTTCTTCTCTCATGATTAAAATGATTCTTTCCCCTCAGAGTATCTATAATCCAAACATGATGAGTTTGCTTAAGTAAAACATCCTTAGCTGCTTACTTCTGCATTTTGTGCAGAATTTACATAGCAAACCCCACTACATAAGACATGCAAAGCAAACAGTAGGTTGCTCTGTAGGGTAGGATAGTTCAACCATAATTATCCCTTAGTCTCTGCTCAGAAGACCACAACATTCCTTAAAGCCAAAATCTTTAGAAAGTTTAATCTTCTCAAACAGGGAAGTGAGATATATGATAGCTGATTACTGTTTGCTCTCCCTTTTTAGTGTTCATTTAATTAAGGAGTATAGAAATGCAATCCTTATTCTCATGTGGAAAATAAGGGTTTATTTACTTTACTCCATCAGTTCACTGATTTTGGTGGATCCTGTGCAAACACAAGAAAAATGTATCCCAGTGAAAAATGTGTTGGGTTTTTGAGAGTTTGACCTTGTGAAGCACTTTGTATTTTCAAAAATATCCTCTATATAGCACAGAAACTCTTTAAAAAGCCATGTCTCATACTGCTTAGAAATGCAAAGGTCTGGACATTTTAATATGTATTTAATATATTTTATCATGGGCAAATAAATAAAGAGGATGAAGAACTGCAGGTATTTATTCCTTTTTTCTTTTTTTTTCTTCTCAGGAGACAAGCTCTAAATTGACAGGGATCTGGCTGATAAAAGGTACCCACCACTCATAGGTTAGAGTTGGCTACATTAGTGATGCAAACACAGCAAGCCTGGGCAGCTCTTTGTGACCTTGGTGTTAGTCTGCTCACCACCACTCTCTGTGGCACCAGGCACCTCAACCACATCTGTAGTCACTGCTGGAAGCGCAGAGAGTCACCCTTAAAAACAAGGTATGGCAAAAGCCCACATATTGAATGTCCTTGTCTAGGAACTAAAACAGTTCTGACAGACACTGTACTACAGCTAGTCACCCAAAGATACACAGATCGAAGACCACAAGAAAAAGAAAGGAAGTAATTACCCATGAAAGAGAGCATTATGTTACTATGTACTACCAATCTCTCTATAAAAACAAATAAACCTTATACAGTGAAGAACATCTGGTGCAATCCGACTGTCCTACTAATGCAGTAACAGTAATTAATGATACCTGTAATTCTGACTTAATATCACATACCCACAAGTGCTAAAATGTGTATTTCCTCAAACACTCTGTTTTCCTGGACTACGACATAAAACCAGAGTCTTCCTAGACCATTTTTATGAGAAGACTCTCTCTTCAGTCTTGTGATTTTGGATAAGCATCTGCTTACTCTATTGTCTGCTGAAAATAGACACAAAAACAGTTACACTTGATGCACATCCAGTTGCCAAAATCCAGATCAAAATGTCAGACCTATTAAGACCTCACTAGCTGAAGTCTGTTTCCTTGGGAGGCAATGTGTATTGCTTTCCTTCCTATTCCAGCTAAAGAGTGGGAAAGCACTGATGAGGTCAGTTAAATCCCGTTTTCACAGTGAAAATGCTTACTAAAGTCCAGCTGATTATTCTTGTGCCAAATCCCCGGGGACAGCAGCAGCAGTACAAGAGTGTGTGGAATGCTCCTCATTTGGCTCTCAGCAGAACTGTTCAGAAATTTACTGGAGCAGTTTAGGGTTCCCCCCAGTACACCTCTTCTCATTACCATCAGGATCTTCAGGGTGCCATGACAAAGCTGTGGATAAGAGGGGCACACCTTTCAGCCTTCCTCCACAAGCTCACATGAAGCCACGTTCCTCAGGGTGGCAGCAAAAGGCACCCACACCATCACACAGGCCTTCAGAGACCAAGAGTAGCAACATTCACATCTCATACTCCAGCCAGAAATTCTTTAGAGACAGTGGATGCAAGGGGACAGCAGCACGGCTGTGTCCTAAGGGAGGGAGAGTCCAGGACTGAGCTGTGTCTGCACCAGCTGATGCTCTCAGCTCCCTTGGGAGTACTCTGACTGTTTTTCAAGTGACAAAACTGCGGAACATGCATCTAAACACAAAGCATGCAAGATACACTTGTAACAAAAAGTGCTCTTGGTCAAAGGCAAGTGAGTTTTGTTCAGCAATACAGCTTTGTGCGCTTTCTTCCTTAGCTTGTTACAGCAAAGCACAATCTTAGTACTATCCATATTATACACCTGTCAGCTTGCTTTACCCCTGCCAGTCATGAGAGATGATGAACAATCTTGTTTACCATATGGATACCTCATGTAAAGAAGAAATAGCATTGCCTGAGCACAGGAGGGACCAAAAATATGCTTGACAGTACTCACATGAGAGAGAAGCACTCAGTGCTACTGGGCAGAAACTATCCTGACCTACCAGGTCCATAAAAGTACTGCATATAAAATACAGTTTTACAAAACCTTCATACTTATTTTAACACTTCTGGAAGAGTTATTTAGTACTGCCCACATTGCTGCTTTTCAAAATCAAAACTTCTTGGAAACCTGGACCTGGCCTTTTCACAGGACTGTACAACGTTTAGACTAAATCGCCTTTAGTACATGGTACAATTTCAGTACAAAATTGGGTTGCACTTTTGTGTGCCTTAATTGTGAACTTTCCTACAAGGGACAAATCAGCAAATTTCAAACACGGTGGATACCCCATATTATCCCCAGTAAGGACACATTTTCCCTTCATGCATTTACAAGTAACAGCCTCATGACATTTCAGCTAGATGGATAGATCAAAGTTAGTGAGTCAGCACTGGGGAAAAGATGGGAGCCCCTATCAACACCACACCACATGAAATGAATGGGGACTCCTGTGTCAAAGTAAGAGCCAAGGGTGAAACCTGTATTTGGCAGAAGGCAGAAGGCAGTATTTCACCCTTTGCACCTGCTCAAGTGGGTCTTGGTCACGCATGTCTTCTGGATTGTGAACTTCCTTTGAAGCCACTGGGAGTTCGGCACGGAGACGGGTTTCAGCATCCAGTTTTGCAACAGATGCAATTCAGTGAGCACTTCATATAAAGAGGGAAAGGAGCAGTGGAAGTGAGTAAAGGGAGGGAACTAACTGTTCCATTGTGTTAGTATTGTAAAAGACCATCTACACAACCATGGAAATTTAATCTAAAAGAGACAATGCCGTGGTACAAAAAAGTTTATTTAGTCACAATTTTGTAAACATATGAGGTAAATTAACGTTTACATCAACTTGCTTCTTACAGAATTTAATATACAAGGCACTTTGTTGAAGACAGTACTTTTAACTGTTTGCTGGTTTTATTGTTCTACAAGTTCCTGACAGCCCAGAAAACTTGTTATGTTTGTTGTTTAGATTCTGTCATGTAAAAGACAAACATCTGGAAAGCCACAAGAAAGTTCTGAGTAAGCCTTCTTATGCTTTACAACCCATTAACTGTGAGAAACAGCAGTATATTCTCCACCTTAAAATATGCTCACATATCTTGCATAACTCTTCAAGAACTGAAACTTTTAGAACTACGTTGGTATCTACAGCAAACTTAAAAAGCAATCTATAGTTTCTTTTTCATATCAGTATTTTTTGCTTACGCAAATAGTCCCATTACCTTTAATGGTCTTATCTGCAAAAGTTAAAATAACTTGCATGAAATTGTATTTGCAGGTTCAGAACCATATTTTTGCATAGAAAGCAAAACATTTATTTTTTGTAAAATCTTCTACAGTGTAACAGTGCAGTGTTTATCCTCAAGTATTTTGTTTGGAACCTTAAGCCAGGCTGTAAATTTAGCTCTTAAAGGACTTACGTCACAGCTAGTTTTTGTCATTGAACCTCTAAACACACAGGAAGGCTTATGAACAATAACGAACCTTAGTTTATTTGGTAATAATTGAGTTCATGATGAAAAGTATCTTTTTCCATAGTGTGCTCCCTATTTATCCATATATTTCAAATATACAGAGAGATCTGATACTATAGATCAGTGACCAGGTTAAACCGTCTTTAATGGTACTGCCTTATGTCTAAAGAGTTCCAGTGTTACAGTAAGACATTTCTCTCTTAAGTTTAACACATTGGCAGAGTCATTCTTTTACTTATTATACAAATGTAAACTTAGAAAGCAGTTTATTTCATCCAAATGTGCAACCTGAAATCAAAAACTGAATGTAAACTTCAGAAAATCAAAATTACAAAAGCACACTTTTCACAAGAAAAATCAAAGTAGAACATCTGGAATTAAAAAAAAAAACAACCCAGCCTGTTCAAATCCATGATGTTAGTGTCTGTATTAAACAAAAAGACCTGGGGGCTCAATGCTCTGCTTCTGCAGACTGCTGTCACCCACGTGAACTCAGTGGAATACAACAGCTTTGTAGCAGCTGAGGAGGTGGTCCCATGCCTAACCAAAAAAGGACCTAAGTATTGATCTGGTTTTTAAAGCTTGCTTTAATTATTTCGCTGATGCTACACTTACGTATTCATACCAGAAAATAATCTCAAGAGCTGCAAAATGTCAGACATTTAATTAGCTCTAAGTGCCTTGATGAATGACAAATATACTGCAAAAAGTGTAGTACATTATACACCTGGTAACTTGTTCAAAGAGTATTTTTTTTTCAGTTTTCTTTTCCATAGTTCACCTCAGCATATTTTTTAACTTCAAGTAAGAGAGACAACAAGTTTTCCCACAATTATTCTACTCAAAGAGCAAAAATGAGTGGGTTTTTTTTCAGTTTGCTTAATATCAGGCATGATTCTGTTCTGAATTCTGCTTTTGCAATAACTTACCTAGAGGTTTCATCTTAGCTGTACATCTAAGGTCTTTCAGGATTGTGGATTGAACAGCCGTATGACCGGGCTAAATCAAAATATCACTTGCTACCAGTTCCCATGAGACTCTGTAATTAATTGATGTGAAAGACTAAATGACTTGGAAACTAGCAGATAGTTTTTACCAACAGACTCTGTTCTGCAAGTTAGTGAGTGTTTGTACATACTTCCTAGAACCGTGGAATTCTCCACAGTTATACTTGGCTGATAGGATGTTGAATTCAGAGTTCATTCACGAGTAAAGATTAGAGTGCTCAAAATTGGCCACACCAATAAGATTTTTCTTTCAACAAATCTGAACCCAGATGTGATGTGGCAACTAAAAGCAGTTGTAAGCACTAAGGAGGAGTTCTGCCAAAACAGTTACCTGGGCTTAAATGAAGAAACAGTTACTGGACTCCAAATGAAACTGTAGGTAATGAAGAGGCTTGACGCTGCATAGTTACGTGATGGAACTTAAGCTGATCTTAAAAGCGCAACCTGTGAGTTGTAGCTTTGCTTTCTCAGACCAGTACTGCTTGGATGCAGAGGCTGCTCTCTCAGACTTCTCTTAGGGGTTGCAATAGAGTTACATTTCTCCCCCCGAGCTTCACCTAACAGGAAAAATGATCTTTTAGAGCTTTCCAGTAGTTACTCTGACTGAAAATACCATATATTCCACAAAAGCATCTGAACTCTCTGCAGGTCTAACCACACACATTTACTAGAAAAGGTCAGACTAGGTATCAGTTGATTGTAAGTTGAATCTATCTCTGTTACTATTTTTTATATACAATATGGATGTAATCCTGCAGGACACACTCTGTGAGGGTTGTACTAAAGTAAGGACTGCAAGATTCAGAGCCCCATCAAACAACAAGTCAGTTTTGCTCTCAGGCACTGATATAAAAAAGCACATATTCCAGGTGGTCTCGTTTATATAAATACACTCCAGAAAGACTTTGACTTCATTCTTCAGAAGCATAGAAGAAAGGGAAATGTAGCCTATAAATTTTGATGCTCTAAAATACAGAGATGCATATTGCATTATTTCAGCAATATAATTAACTGGCATTTATCAAAACTTACAAAACTGCTACTATAGATGCTAGTAAATCTAAAAATTTGGAGTCTTATATTCTGCCTCTCTATACATCTAGGCAACCTCATCAACTTCAGTCTAAGTTCAGCATAGTTGCATGGGTACAATAGAAAGCAGAATTTAGCTTTTAGCTTTCTTGCAGAAAGGGTTTTTATGGCTTATAACACAGAAAATCCATGAGAGCATGTCTGAAGCTGAACACCTAATAATAAATACCTGTATTGTACTACTGCACATTGACTTTTAACGCAGTGTCTGCCCCCAAGATCATGGGAGCAGAAAGACTTCTCCTCAGCTGGTTCACCACAAGCAGTACAAGGAAGTCATGAGACAACATACCCAAGGGTTGCAGAACAGTGCTTCTGATCATGAGAAGCTTTTTCTGACTACTCAGAAAGCAGTAAAAATGTTTAATCTTGAGCAGTAGGAATATATTTTAGCTGTTGAATAAAATGAACACATTCAGGAAAACATATAACAGCAGAAATAACTGGCAATTGTAACTACTTGCTACAGGGTGACCCTGCTTTGCCTGAGTAAGGACTGCACTGCCAGGCCAAATATTTTGAAGATGCAAAGGGCTATCCCAGTGTGTTCTCCAGTTACAGTACTTTCGATTTGTAGCAGCAACAGGACTGACTTCAAGCTTCAGTTCTTTTGGATTTTGCTTAGAACGGAATATGGGCCTAATTCTGCATTCCTTTTGTACCGAAACTCTCCTGAGCCTTATCAGGCATTCAGAAGTCTGACTAATCTCTTGTTAACAAAGGAATAATGGACAGAGCCCATTGTAAGCAAAGCTGCACCTTAGTAACAAATACCCAGTACTTTCCTTCACCCATTTTTAAGGGAAACACAATTTTCAAAAGCAGGATTTCAATGTTTTTATCTACGGCCCAAAATCTACATTTATTCTGGCTCCCAAAACTTTATGTGAACGTTAGTTTTGCTTGAATAAGGCCTGCAAGATCCATTCCAAATCTTGCTCTTTGTTAAATTCAACGGAAAGCCTTCAAGTGACTTCAGTGGGATCAGAACAGACTCTTCAGCCACTACGTTGCCCAGATATTTTAGCCACCTTTTCTGCAATACAATATTATCTAAATCTGTTTTCACTGACCTGTAAGACATTACAGATTGATGTTAAAGGGTAGGACACAACAGGAAATAATGTTGCTTTGGGAATTTTACCATTAGTAAGTTTCTTTCCTCTTACATTTTCTTGTAAGACCAAAGATCAAACTAAAATTATTAAATACACAGTCAAGTAACTTTAAACTTAGAGATCAAAATTATTCTCAAAATGTTCAAATACTTAAAAATATGCACTCAGGTTTATCTCTAAAAAGCATTTTTCCAACAAACTTAAGCTGATATCTAGTAGTCTAAAATGCAGAGCTGTACTTTATCCTATTGTTTGTCCACAGGCAATGTATGGGGCCACAGTGTATTGAAATCATAATCCTTGCTTTCTGAAGAGAAATTGTTCTGTGTAATAATTTCTGAGGTGTGATTTAAATTCCTGTCCTCCTCTAAGCAATTTCAGAAGTCATCTAGAATTATAATCAAACATGCTCAAACATATTTGAGGGCTTTTAAAAATGGTGTAATCATGGTCAGCAAACACTGAATAGAAGGTCAAACTGAACACTTCCTAACAGGTCAAGAGTAAAAAAAAAAAAATTATGGAAAGAAGAACCTCAAAAATCTATTACAGGGGTTACCTAAACTCTGCCTGGCCGAGGACCACATTGGTGATTTGCAATGAGCACAAAGGCTTCTTTAAGTCATGTTATATGGAACAAACTGAGTCACCTTTAATACGGCAAGTTGGTCTGTAGAGATGACAGGCTCCAACAGACGATTTGCCACCCTGATGTCCAACATAGGGCTATGTAAGATTCAAAAAGAAGAAAGTGATTCATCACATCTGCTCATGTAGAGCTTGTGTGAAAAAGGGTAGAAGTGAAGTCATGGGCAAGAGGGAGATGACAGCCAGGCACATGGGCACTAGGGATATTAACATTTTTCCCAGATGAAAGTCAGCCTCGAGGCACATGGCCAGCTACCATCACCACCTGCTATCCGTGCAGGCCTCTTCTATGGCTGCCCTTGGGAGATCTGCCATGGACATGAAGGAAAGTGGGACCGGTCCCCTGGCCCGCGGGCTGCGCTTTGGTCACCCCTGACCTATTAGAAAATGTTGATATTTTTCCCCACTACAACTCACAGAGTGCAAGAACAGCAAGCGTCTAAGTTTGAAGCCCAGGCCTTCTCACCCACGCCAGGCCTGGCCTCCCCGGACAGCTCCCCTGCCCACTCCGCCTTCCACCACCTGCCCCCACACGCAGGGGCGGCCGCCTTACACGGCCAGGTCGTCTGACCGGGCTCTGCAGCTGCTCGACTTACTGGCCCTGCTCAAGCGCCGCGTGTCTACGAACAGGGGTGGCTCGTGCATCTCCACAGTGGTGCAGGCGGCCGGCACGGGCCGTGCCCCTGACAGCTCCTCCTCGCCCTCCACATCCCACTTACTGCCGCTTGCCCCACTCAGGCTGGTGCTGCTGCCGCTGTTGGCTGCAGCAATGGGCAGCACGGCTGGGGGCGGGAGTAGCTGCTCCAGTGGCTCTTCTTGCTCGGGAAGGTGATGCCGGACACTGCTCGGGGTAGAGGAGCCTGCTGAGCTGGAGGAAACCTTCCCCTGCTGCTCCGCTGCCATGTTGGCCCAGTTCTGCTCGGATGTCAGGGCACGGCTGCTGCTGTTGAAGTAGCTGATGACGGCTGGGGTGGGTGTGGAAATGGGGGTTGGGATGGTGACAGGAGTGGAGATGGGCGTGGGAGTCACAGCACAGTGTCTCTCCTCGGGAACCGGTGGAGCAACAGGGTAGCTTGCCATGGAGGTTGTGTTGGAGGGGGGCCGTGGTCTAGGAGCTGCTGTAGCATAGTATGATGCCATGGTGACTGGGGCCAGCAGTGGTGTGACAGCACGGGTGTCAGGCAGAACAGGGGGTGGCGTGGCAGTTGTTACCACCACGGGTGGTGCTGGTGGTGGCAGGGAAACGGGTTTGGACTCCCCTGTTACCATAACTGGTGTCATTGTTGCAACAGGCATCTCAAGGATGTACTGGCTTGTCATGCCCTGCTTAAGCTTCTTCCACCCCAAGTGATATATCTCAAGCATGTTCAGCAGCAAGGAGACTGAGGCCACCACCAACATGAAGATTATGAAGATGGTCTTCTCAGTGGGCCTTGAGATGAAGCAGTCGACAGTGTGTGGACAAGGTGAGCGGCTGCACTGGTAGACTGGTTTTAGCTCAAAGCCATACAGGAAATACTGGCCCACAATGAAGCCCACCTCGAACAGGGTCTTGAATATGATGTTGAAGACATAGGTACGGAGCAAGGCACCCCCCATACGGATTCTACCACGTTCATCACGGATTGGGAGCTTCTCCTTCCCCCTTTTGCCTACAGGATCCTTGATGTTATTGCTGCCCCCTCCGCCACCACTGCCAGATGCTGCTGCTGCTACTGCGTAGTTTCCATCTTTGCTGCTTCCTTTCTTTTTCATCTCTTCTTTCTCTTTCCTCTTCTCCTCCATGCGTACAATGTGCAGGACATGGCCCAGGTAAATGAGGGTTGGAGTGGAGACAAAAATGATCTGCAGGACCCAGAAGCGGATGTGAGAAATGGGGAAGGCTTTGTCATAGCAAACATTTTCACAACCAGGTTGCTGAGTGTTGCATGTAAAGTCCGACTGCTCGTCTCCCCAGACCTCCTCAGCAGCAGCCCCCAGCACCAGTATCCTGAAGATAAACAGTACTGTCAGCCAAACCTTGCCAATAACCGTGGAGTGTTCCTGCGCATTCTCTAACAGTCTCCCCAGAAAGCTCCAGTCACCCATTGTTTCAGATTTCTAACCTACAATAAGAACATCACAGCAATTAGAGCAATGTTAAAAAAATAATAATTACACAATGCTGGGGCAGAACAGACTGATCCTTGACAAATGATACTTCTCAAGTGCACTTGTTTTTGCAGAATATTGCAGATGTGCGTTAAGAACTGGATAACCCTGTGACCATGCAACCACGAGCTTTGATGAGCACAGAAGTGAGATGTTTAGTGCTTCCACATAGCCCATAGAGGTTTAAGTGCCCACGCACAACAGACAAGAAGGATTTGTAAGTTAGAATTTCTACTAGATTTAAATATTTTTAAATTTAGATTTAAACATTTTTAAAAATATTATTTCTCTGTTTCCTCTATCTGAGATGGCTCTAAGTGCTCCTGCCTATATTTAGAAAAGAACAGATTGAAATCAGTTCAATTATAGTAATCCTACTATTCATGTAACTGCCCTTGTATCAGAGTGGGATACAAAAATTGCCTAATTCTAATGATTTTACTGTTATCAGAACTTATATACTCCAGCATTCAGGAAGTTAGAAATGTCCGAAGTCTCTGCTATTTTCAAACTGTACAAACACAGAAAAATAATTACTCAAAACCTATGGAACTTGCAGTTTAATTTTGGAATGTGTACAACTCAACAAGCATGTTCTCAAAGCCTAATCATGTTTGAATTGTTTATTTCTAAAAAAAAAAAAAAACACAAAAAACAAACAGAATTACTTTAATAACTTGAAATATTGGGAAGAATGAGAAATTTTGAGAGGAATTATGAAAAGGTTTCTATGCCATTTTCCCCACTGTCCTGTCAGTTATTGTTACTGAACCATACCTACTGCAACATCATTTAAAAAACCAAACAAATAAAAAAACCAAACCAAACCAAAAACAAAACAAAACAAAAAGCCAACAAACTCAAGGTCACTTTAACAACTGTATACAGAGATTTTCTTGGAAAAAAATAAAATTACATCCCATGACCTTACTTCAGTGAAAAACAACAGCATATATTCTCAGCAATTTCCACCAATTCATGTATGATGGGCCTCCCATGTCCAATTCTAGGCAGAGACACAATTCCTGATTTGGAAAAACACTATCAGAAAAGTGATTATCCTGCTGTTTAAAAACCTCAGAATATTTTATAACTGAATTACTATTTTTATACTTATACTTCTTATCCAAACACGCAGGTGTCTTACAATTCCCAAGAAAAAAAAGGCAGTCATCATTATAGCTAGGAATTTACCACTATTCTCATCATTACATTTAGTGTGATTTCCAGCAATTATGTCACTGGTTTTCCAGAAGAAGCATTTCCAAAGTCTGTATGGAACCTCTTTCAGGCTTTTAGTTAGGGCAGTTAAAGAAATAAAAGTTATTTGAGGTACTTTTTTATAACTTGATTTTACTACAAGGCAATGAAATAACTGTAAATGCAGGCTAGTTTGCTTTCATACAAAAAGTAACAAAACAACTATTAGTATTTTGCATTTTTGCAAATCCTGGAATATGAATTTTTTTTTATCCCACAAAGTTAACTCAGCAAAAACTCCCCCTAAGAAATACATCTTTCATATTCTGCAAAAACACATCCTCTTTAGTATCAGTGAATTCTTTTTCCAGCATAATATGCAACATTTCCAGCAAATGATGATGTTAACAACAAAACACCAATTCTGTGTACTAATGTCCCTGAACCTCAAACTTTTTTTTAATAATTTTTTAATATATTGAGATTCTTTTTGAAGAATGTATTTTTTCTCCTCCTAAAATAGTAGCCCAAACCCAAGTACATTTTGTCATAATATTTTCATAATCTTAATATGCTTATATGATTTAAAAATTTAATCCTCAATCTTAACGTTATACAGTTTACAATATTTTGGATGGTTAAGGAATTTTAATCTTGAGAAGTATCAATTTTTAAGGGAATAATGAATTTTTTGTTGTTGTTGTTTTTACTCAAAACCATTTGAAGATATATCCAGTTTAATTTCAACTTTGAACAGACTTAAACCGATGTTTGGGAATGTTCTCATTTTGAGTGGGAAAATGCAGGAACAGCAAAATGAATAATGTGATATTTGATGGATTAAAGAAGTTTAGCATAAACCTAATCTCATTATTTCCTTTCTCTGCTATTCTTTGCCTCTCAGATCAATACTATCTACCCCACTCTTTATTTTCTATCCAGATCAAACCAAATAGGCAGCTCAGATAATAAGTGGTCAAAGTTACAGTTTGTTCTTTTGTTGCTAATACTTGTAGTAGAAAGTTTATCAACCAGCAAAACGTTAGCCCATTAAATTTTCTTGAATTCATTACTACATCCTATTTTCAGCATGGCTGCAATTACCCCTGTGTCCATTGGCACAAAGCCTACACACTGTTTTATATAAAGACAGATATTACCTTCTGTTGCTCAAAAAAAATGCAGTTGCCCTCACGAAAAATTATAACGCCTGCACTGTAAGGTAAACACAGGTATCAATTTTTTCCCCTTATAGGTACACTGAAGTGCATTTCTTACTGAGATCCATAGGTAATGATGACTACAATGAAAGTAGGATTTTTTGTGCTTTCCTGAAGATTTATCTAGTGATTAGTAGAAGAAGAACAATAACAATTGGTAAAACTTAAAAATGATAAATAATATATCCATCTAATTTAATCATTCTCCATTCAGTAATACTACAGAAGAACTTTTTTTTGTTTCTACTATAGGTCAACAATGCCTAGGCTGAGATAATCAGGACCGAAGACATGACACAAGGCATTTCTCAAAGGATACATATTAAAAAAGCTATTCTAATGCTTATATTAGTTAAAAGATTTATATTTGTGTACCAGAGTGTGCAAACTCATCCTGTACACAAAGAAAAAGTGTCTAAGTTGTGAGCAGATACTTCATGGCATCTTAACTGCACTGAGGTGAAAAACCTCAGTGTTCATCTTGGTATGAACTGCAGCAATTGTTGCCTTCACCAAAAATGCATATTTCCCATAGTACATCCATATGGGAAGGACATAATTTCCAAGTGCAACACAAAGTTACATATTTCCACTAGCTAGAGGGTTCCCAGAAATCCAGGTCCCGTATCTTTCTTCAGTGTCAATACATTCTTCAGTAAGCAATTGTAAAGCCAACATACCTCATCCAAAAATCACACCAAAAATTTAAAGGGATGACTTAATTCAGATAATGATTAAATGACCTCAAATGAAACCACAAGGTCCTCAGAGCTCACAGAATACTTGAGTTTTTCCCAGTAAGTTCAACAATACCTAAATCTAAATTTAACAGCCATAACTCAATATTTTATTTGAGATCAATTCCAAACTTGCTTTTGTAGTATTACATAAACTTCAACTTTACAGTATTACTTTCAGTGCTACTGAAATCCAGAGCTAGGCAACTGTTAAGACCTAATCTTAAATATGGATTGTGAAAGGAGACATTTTTTTCTTTTTGTGTTTGGAAAAAATGCAGATTAAGGAATGAAACATCTTTATCTGAATTTCTTGATGTCCACTAGAGAATGACAGGAAAATCTGTCTCAGAAAGCAATCTAATTCAATTGTTTGAAAAGCAAGGACTTCATGAACCTTGGGATCATTTAATAAGAACTGTGAGTCCTGTATTGTTTGGTTCACTTAGAAAATCATTACTCTGAGACAAATATGGAAAACTGGACAGTTCATAAAAATTGGCATGGCATTTAAGAATCAATGTTGTGGTATTAATTACTAGTTTAGTACATGCACAAATACACTTTGTGTATGGTGTTTGCGTGCATGTAGCAAATAGAACAAGCAAGAGACAGAATAAATTTTAGAAGCTGTGATGCCATATAAATATCTCTGTCTACGGGAGACAAATACTTATAATGTGTCATCTGTAAACTTGTCAGTTATTTTTATTTCTGATGATGTCACCAGATGGGTTCACCACTCTGTATCGAGCGTGTGAAATATGATATTTTAATTATTTATAATTCTACTCACACATATATATGTTTATGTATTTATCTACACATATGCACACATTACACACATAAATAACTACACAGCTGTGTTACATACATGATCAGATTATGAAACCTGATGTATTTATGATTTTATTACACTGGTATATCTAAAAATGTCCCTTAACAATTATTCAGAAACATGACAGATGTCCTTGTCTGAATATGAGTTCTTAAATGCAGTCCACACTTCCTTCAATTTCTTGTGACAGCCTAAAACTATGGGATTTCGACTTTTATCTTTAAAATTATCTAAATGTTATGAAGCAGTATGAGAAAAAAATGCTGCTAAAACAACTTGCAATATTTCATTTGTTTTTACACTAAACAATAAGGCATCTCCTTTACCACCACGTTCTTAACTCTGCTATTTAAATCAGATAAAAGCAGTCATCCTGCAGAAAGTCTGCAGTGTGACCATGTCATTCCAGACAAACTGGCATATATACAGGCACAGAACAAGCTACTATAATTTCCAGTGAAACTTAATGGTATTTGGTCATGCACCTATACATGACATACAATAGTGAGTGTCTCATAAGTCACAATGGAGGTTTCATAGTTCATTTTATAAACTTGTTTAAATGAGAACTTTTTCATCCTCACAGTGTCATACTTTCAGACACATCTATTACCACTCTCATTACATTTTAAACACTTGTTAAAAATTAATTCCTTATTTGATCTTATTATTACCTTAAACTTACTTTACTGCTATGGAGCCTCCTCCTTAAATCCCAGGCAAAACTTCTTTTGACTTCTTCTTGACTTCACTTGACCTCTGAGTGAAAGTTTGGCCTGGGTAAAGGAAAAGTGCGAGGAGTGCAGGGCTGAGCCGGGGAGGAGAGCTACACCCCACCTGTTAAACTCTGTTCCCTGGTATAATAAACCCCTCCTCTGATTCTCTAGTTGCAGGAGACAAACAGGAACAAAAAGTAACCCCTTTTCTCCCCCAGAATACTCAAATGGCATCTTAAGAGCTCTACATCGGAATTAAAAGACAGTGACTTACCAATAAAGCTGAAAGGCGTGGAGGGTGTGGAGCTACCAGGGGACTGCGGAATAGCCGTTGAGCATGAGGGCAACAGTCCTACATCCCGAGTGAGTGAAGCATGAATGAGACAGATCTGTCAGGTGCCCACATACGATCAGCCACACAGGTCTAAAAACTGCACAGTAAGGAGTGTCCCGCCCCCCACCCCAGATATACATCGGAAAGATGAGCCTTTCTGGCATTCAGAGACTCAAGAGCCTTTTACACTGCAGAGAAGCAAGTACTCCAACATTCAAGCATCCATGTGAGGGGACTTAAGGCAAGTAAAAGTAACTGCAAGGGAGATGGTGCTGTAAACCCCATTCAAATTTCTTTAAAGTACACTTTTGTACTATGGCAATCATTTAATTTTTTTTCTAGTTTAAGACTAAAGTGTTCCAGTAGAATTCTCTCATTTCCCTTTAAATTTCTCTTAAAGGGAAGCTCTAATAGCTCTGGTTACTCAGTTCAATTCATTCTTCACATCTATGTCATTCTTCATATCTATGTATCTATGTCTTAAAGGCCTAACACACTAAGGATTCCTAATAACATCTTAGGCTTATATGATTTCTTCAGTGACTCAGCAACGAACCCAAATACTCTAATACTCTTTTTACCTACAGGAAAAAAAGAACAGACACAAATTAAACAACTTTTTTTTTTTTTGTTATAACACTGGAAAAGTCTTACTTAAGAGTTATATTTAAGCTATAAATACCTTCTAAAGAATATTTATTCATCTCAATACTTCACATCACTCATGAGTCCTAAGTGAACAAGTGAGTAACCAGCATGTTTGGATAACTCTCAGATAGAAGATGTGACTGGAAGAGTGATGTAAAAGCCTGGTTAATGCAGGGAGGCCAGCCAGCTGTTTTTCCCACCATCAGTAGAAAGTGTTTGTATGGGTCAGATAACTCAGAGCTCACTTTAAGGAACCCCAGAACCATGTGGGGAGTACACTCCTGAACTCCATCATTCCGTGTAGCACCACTTACAAGAGCTTAAAGCAATTCTGGCTCTGCTTTATAGTTAGGATTTAACTTTACTCCAAGTACAAAACTGACTTGGAATGCACATCAATGTTCGAATGTGAGTGGCAACCCTTAAGGAAGAAATTACATGCCCCTACACGGGCACCCTTTGGCGGGCAACGGCCCCAACAATCCCGCGTGTATTTGGCGTTCTGCTTTCCACTGCATCTCCTTAGGTATTTGGTTAGGTTTGGACACTTCTGCCTGCCTCACCAGGCAGTTCCCGCCCCATGTGCGAGCTGCCGCTGCCTGCAGACGGTTCCCTCGGTGGGGCACCAACGGAAGGACGCTCGCACCGGGATCCCTCAAGGAGGAATCCAAAGCAGTGACTCCCCTTCCCTCATTCGTCCTCAGCGGGATGAGCGGGCTCGGCCCCGCCCTGCCCTTCCCTGGCGCCCAGCCCACGGCCGGGGGGCCCGGCGAGCGGGCAGAGCCCCCAGGCAGCTCCCGCCTCCAGCGCAGGCTCGCAGTGCGCCGGTGGCCGCGGCCCCGCCAGCCGAGCCCCTCTCGGGAGCGGCGGCTCCGCACAGGGGGCCGAGCGGCGCAGACCAGGGTCGCTCTACTTACGGTAGCTTCGCGGGGAGGAGCGCTGTCTTAAGCGCCAAAAGCTCAGCTCCTTCGGAAGAGTCCAGGCAGCGATGGCGCATAACTCGCTTAACCGGGGGGAAGAGGCGCCCCCAAACTTTGCTCGGACTATGGAGAAAGCGGAGGGGGTGGTGGTGGGGGCTGGGTGCAGGGGCGGGGCGGGAGGTGCCCGGAAGGCCGGTGCCCACCTCCCTCCGTGCTGCTGCCCGGGCTGGCAGCGCGCCCCTCGGGCGGGCGGGAGCGCGGCCGCGACGGCTGCCCTCTGACGGGCTGCCCCTCTGACGGGCTGCCTCTCTGACGGGCTGCCCCTCTGACGGGCTGCCCCACAGGCACTGGGCACCCGGCCCTCCCCTCCTCCCTCCCTCCCGTCCCGCCGCGGGCACAGCAGCCGGCTTCACACGGGCCGCGCCGGCAGCCCCTCTCTCCTCACCCGCGAGGCTCCGGGCGGAGCGGCCGGGGTGTTCGCCCTTCTCTCCCTGGATTCTAAAACGTTTGTCACTGTGCAGATGATCCATCCCACCCCCGCGGGATTTCCTGGGAAATAAAACAGTTTATTCCTCCCGGAGGATAAAAGCGTGAGAAACCCCTCCCCGCTGGGCCGTCCGTCCGCCCGCCCCGCCGCGCTGCGGCCGAGGCAGCGCAGAGGGAGCCGGTTCCCGCACGCCCCCCGCCGCCCGCTCCCATTCCCGCCCCGGAGCGGCGTCCCGGGACACGGCTGCGGCACCGGTGTCAGAGGGCGCCTCGCCCCGGCGGCCGAAGGTGCGGCCCTCCGTCAGGTGTTAAGAGAGACCTGAGAGCAAAAGTGGAAAACAAACGAACAAACAAAAAACCCCAAACAAACAAACAAAACAACAACAAAAACAACCTAAATGACAAAAGATTCTTCACAAAAAGAAGGTGGGTCTTTTTTTTTCGTGAGGAGGCAAACCTCGCTGCTACCACCTGCGTCTCCTGCACGAAGAACCCAAAAAGTTGGTAGCGCCTTTTTTTTTTTTCCTTTACCCCAGACCCTGCTCACTGAGGATTAGCTGTCAAACTGTCTGCGTGTAGACCTTTTGGGGGGAAAAAAAAAAAAAAAAATCAGTTGCCACTATTTCCAAAATGATGATTTAAAGGTGTCTCTTGATATTGTCAGCGTCAGGGCTCAAAAATACTATCACCTACATTTTGGTTAGGTTTTTGCGTGTTCTTTAGTGTTGCCCATGTTCTGGGCAGCATCAAAAGCAGCGTGGGAGATGATTCTGCTCAAAGCAGGTCGAGGAAGGTGATTCTCTGCCTCTGTTCCGCTCTCATGAGACTCCACCTGGAGTGCTGCATCCAGCTCTGGGGCCACCAACATAAGAAGGACATGGACCTGTTGGAGCGAGTCCAGAAGAGGCAGCAAAGACGATCAGAGGGCTGGAGCACCTCTCCTATGAAGACAGGCTGAGAGAGTTGCAGGGCTGTTCCTGGAGAGGAGAAGGCTCTAAGGAGACTGTACAGCAGCCTTCCAGTTCCTAAAAGGGGCCTACGAGAAAGCCAGAGAGGGACTTTTTATTAAAAGCATATAGTGACTGGACAAGGGGAATGACTCTAAATGGAAAGAGGTAGGTTTAGATCAGATATTAGGAAGAAATTCTTTACAGTGAGTATAGTGAGACACTGGAACAGGTTGCCCAGAGAAGCTATGGATACCCCATTCCTAGCAGTGTTCAACGCTGGGTTGGATGGAGCTTTGAGCAACCTGTTCTAGTGGAAGGTATCTCTGCCCTTATCAGGGCAGGTTGGAAGTAGATCTTTGAGGTCTCTTCCAACCCAAACCATCCTATGATTCTAAGAAAGACAGAACAACTTGATTCTATGATAGGCAGAATGACTTAAACTAGCACAACTCAACAACTCTTCAGCAATAAGGTATGAGTTTCTGTTGATAGCTACTCTACAGCAAAGGAGTTGAAAACTTAACCACAGCTGAAAACTTAACCATGGCTCACTGTTGCTCTATTTAGTAAAAATACCATCCACAAAAAAATTTGACAGACTTTGAGGAGCTATGTGTAACAGAGGACTGTTGAGAAACTGAATCAGACCATCCCTATGTTCTTGTATCCTTGCAATGCTTGATTGCTCCCTATGAATCTTGCAGCTGAAAACACTAAGGAGGAAGAACACTAAGGAGGAAGATCTCTGTGGACCTAAGCACAAGGACAAATGACTATTCTGAGCTGGGTGATACAGCTGAAGCACAGTGCTGTCATGACTGTAAGTGTAGTAGTACTGCAGTATTGATCCTGAAGCAGTGGGGCATGAGAGGCTGTGTTGGGGTACAGGATAAAATCCCATCAGCCCCAGTAATTCCTAATATTATAACTTTCTTCATGCAGTGAAGTCTCTCAGCTCACAAAGTCAGCTGAAGGGCAAGAAGTTTATCTTAGGGAGAGGTAGACAGATCTCTTGTTTTCAATCATCTGTCCAAAATGTTTAATAGCGTGAAGGACTGGGTGTTTCTCTGATGGCTTTTTCTGTTTCTGGAAGTTTCAAGTGGTATTTCTCACCGTCTGTACAAACTGGCCTTGATACTTGGTTTTTTAAGAAAAATATTCTTACTCAGGAGAGCAATGAGGTTCTAGAGCACCCTTTCAGTACTGCCACAGGAAGTTTTTATGATAGAAATCATTACATTTCAAATGGGGAGAATCTGATGCAATGCCTGCTTACCATGGGACTACACCCAGTAGCTAACAATTTCCTTTCTAAGAATTCTCTTCTGGCATCATATAAGAAGAGGTTTGGTCTGTCAACAAAACCCTCTGGATCATTTGTAAAATAAGATAAGCAAGGATGCAAAATGCATGGGGAAAATTTGAAGGAAGCAGCTTTAAAAATAAAGAACAAATTATGTGCTAGTGAAAGGCCAAGCATGGAAGCATGTCAAGGTGGTATGGATGGTTATTTGTTAGTCATATACTAGGAAAGGAGGGTCTATGCTCAGATTTAGTTAATGGTGTTAAACGGTGTCTCTTTATGTGGACTTTCTGACACAAGGATTTCCATGGAAGAGCCATCCTGTTAGCTTCCTCTCTTATTTTCAAACTGCCAGCCCTCATTAAAAAGTTCCTTCCATTGTCATTAACACTAGATAGCAGCATAAAACTTAGGTCACATTTAAATTTTTACATTAAAATGCACACTTAAGAAAATTTTCAGCCTTCCTTTAATTATCACAGAATCATTAGTGTTGGAAGGAACCTCTCAAGACCATCCAGTCCAATCTCCCTGCCAAGGCAGGGTCACCTAGAGCAGGTGACACAGGAATACCTCCAAGTGGGTTTTGAATGTCTCCAGAGAGGGATTAATTATCTTCTTTACTACCACCTCTTGTCTTCCATCCAAGCCTCCACCCAGGTGACAACCCCTGTTTCACATGTAGATAGACATTTAGCAGTATATGATTTGACTGGTGCAGAAACAAAGTGAATTCAAGAAGTGTGGAGACAGAGCAGTCAGGCAGGTATTTTTAAGATTAGGTGAATCAGGTTTGCATGGCAAGGTACATGGAAAGTAGATAAGAAATAGACACAAAGCTTTATGAAATGATAAAACGATCTCATAAGTTAAGGAGATCTTGCCCTTAGTCTGAACCTGAGCTGTTGCTCAACAAGAAAAATGGACTTTTTCAGATCAGGATTGATCCAAAACAGTGTTTCCCCCATGCTATTTCTAATTTAAACATCTATATTGAAGTGCAGAAGAGGGTCACTCTTACCATAACTGTGCATCCAAACAGAGTTTAATGGAAAGAGCCCACAGCTGGGGTACATGTCATCAGTTGTAAGCAAGCCACACCAAAGTGACACATGCCACACAGCCAACCTAAAAAAAACCAGTTACAAATGCCTTCAGTTCAGCTTGTTGTGGCACTGTATGGCATGTTAATAAAAAGAATTGTGCTTGACATGCCTCTGTGCTACAGAAGATGGCACTAAAGGTATTTCAGTGTTGGGAACGGGTACTGCTACCTCAGGAGGCACAACTTGAAGCAAGGAGGATTAAAATATTTTCTTCTCTAGCTGCTTCTTACATGGATGAATCGAAATATTTTAAAACTAATTAAATAATAAATAAAATGGCAATAAAAACACTGTAGCTTAATCTGATATTATATACTGATTTTTATCATCTGACTAATTAATGATTAGTGTTCTGTTCTGTTACACGCTACTGCCAAACACATCAGAGAACATAGCATATTAACACGCAAGAACTGGTGACAGGAAGAACTATTATTATTTCTAGTCTGTAGAAAGACTTAATGTGACTTCTAGTTTGTAGGAATGGAACCACAGGAAGACTTAATATCTTATCCTAGGTTATATGGTTCTGAGAATAACACTGAGACTCTAGGCTGGTGTTTAAGCCACCAGAACTGGCTTCCTCTCCAAAGTCCTTTGGGAACTGTGGGAAGTCTCCTAATACAACAACAACAAAAACTGGAATGTTCTAGGATATGTAGCAGTGAGATGCTTTCAGGTCATCTTCATGGAAGCAAGAGCTCCATTTGAGATGTATTAGAGGAAGAACTATAACTGTACAAGCCAGGCATCTCTTATGAGGAAGAATTAAAAAGAAAGACACAGGACATGGAGGATCCTAAGAGGAATTATGCCTGCTATCATACTGGCATGGTGTGATGCTATTTTTTTTCCACACCATGGGCAGAAATATGAAATAAAAATATTGAAATAAGTCATTCCTGCCACAAGCCTGGCAGAAAGCTAACTGAGCTGAAAAAAAAAAAAAAAAAAAAGCAGAGTTCAAATAGTAGTCTACTGAGTTAATGTGTTGAATCAACTCATATAAAAGTTGAGGGAAGATTGTGTTGGAGCAAGGGAGAAGCTGGCCGGTAGGTGAGAAGCAGAGCCAATAGAGAGGAATAGAGAGCAAGGAAGGGTACAGAAGCAAAAAAAGGGAAAAGGCAGTTAAGACTTTGCCTTTCTAGTAGCAGTCACTCAGGAAAACACAGCCAGAGGCTGTGGTTTGAAATTGCGTGTGTGTAGCATCAAACAAACTTCATGTTGCCATTCCTTCCACCCCTTCCACTCACTCCCTGCAGCTCTTCTTGCCCAACACCGTGACCTGCTGCCCCACAGTCACCTCAGTGTGGAAGTTCATGTGGCCTCCCTGTAAGCCAGATCAAGGAATTGACCCAGCTAAAAACCAATCCAGCAAAACAAAACATTTGTTTCTTCATCAGCTAAAACAGTCAGCCAATCCAGTGCTAAGCGCAGCTGTGCAAACAACTGCGCTGTCACAGTAAAGGCCCTGGAGCCAAGGCACAGTGTTGAATGGGGTGGGAGAGAGACACAGACAGGATAAGAAGGGATGACATCAGTGTTAATGCCCTAAACTAGTATTGCTACTGAACGATTCATAGTGCCAAACCACAACCAAGGCTCCTAAACAAGGATGTTCTTTCTCATTGTATTCAGGGTAAGAGCAAATACAGTATGTTTTACCAGGAGTATACCTTGTTGTCA